TGCCAGGAGGGGAAGGTGGTGGCAGCTGGCAGGGCAGCAGACAAGATGACAAGTGCCGCCTTGTCCCTCCTTCTCCCTGCCAGCAACTTGGACAATCAGCACCAAGGGGAGGGGCAGCAAAAAGAGCAACCAGCAATCAAGTTGGAAGCCACTTGTCATCCTTCCTCCCCCTGCCTCCCCCCCAGGCCCTTCCACCAATCATGCTGAGGAACGGGGCTGCTGCAAAATGCCCACAAAAAAATCAGCTCTGCAGGCCACAAAACCATTTGTCTTGCCGCAATTTAGGTAGGTCCTTACTTATATCCCTGTCAGGGTGTGGGGCCCCCAGGGATGGCCATGATGCCTCTGGGGCTCCGTAACCATGCCAACCCTATCCTACGGGCACCCTTTTTCTCGCCTGCCACGTCTTTCTGATAATTATCATAAATAGGAAGACTGCCCTAGAGTTTATGTTTGGACACAGTCCTGATGGACCCCACTGAACACTTTTGGTTCCTGGACCCCTTTTTGGTTCCTGCTCTAAATGGATGCCTCATGGGACACCCCTAGCTTTATGGACTAGATGCATGGCTCCAAAACTGCCCCTTTACCATGGCCCATGTCTCACAGATGGTATTCAAAACTTGTCCCTCCGAGGCCTTGATATAGCTCAGGCCTCCCTTCACCGCTGGACCCTCCGAAGCCCTGGGTCTGAGCCCACGCAGGCGCTGGGCCTGCTGGCACTGGGGTCTCCACACTGTAGTGTTCCCCAATAAGGCATCCTTCTCCCCAGTAGTCTCAGCCTGGTCCACTGGTTTAAATAACAACGGATAACATAAGCCTCTAGGCTATAATGGAATACAAACAGTGCAGGGTGCACTCTGTCCCCTTAAAGAGTCAAACTTCCCCCCAAACATTAAGTACCTTGTAGCCCAGGGTACCTGGTGGGCTCCAGGAGCCCCATTAGTCCTGTAAGCAGCATACCAGGCGGCCCCAGCGTCTCTGGGCAGTTCTTTTCTGCAGGAGCTTCATCCCCTGGCTGCTGCCAGGGATCTAACCCTTGCTGGCCTCAGCCCTGGGGTTTGTATGGGCCCAGTGCCCTGTCTTCTTCCAGTCAGCTGACTGAGTGCAGGTGCAGGCTAATTCCCTCATTAGCCTGCTGCCATAGTAACCTGCACCTGTGGGATGTCTGCCTGGCTCCTAGGGCCCTCTCTCTAGGCAGACTCTTGCCCTTAAAAGAGCAGGTACCTTGGTGCCCTGCAACACCCCCCTTCATTAACAAATAGGCATTGTAACCTTGAGAGTATAATGAACAATCTACAATAGTTATTTTTGGAAAAACAACTTTAAACAATGGTTTCACAGACTTCTTAGCTGGGCAGAAGTGGGTGAATTTTCATGGGTGCAGCGTATCCCAAAACTCACCCCTCCCCCTGACAAATGTTGAGTTCCTATACATAAAAAACTTAGGTTACTGCATTTTTTATAGTATTAGGACTACTACCCCCCCCACACACACACACTTTCAGAAATGGCCGAGGTGAGTTTTTGTTTGCCAGAATGCTCTACATTTCAGTGGATGAAAAAACAAAAGATTAAGCAACTAAAACAGGCTCTTACTGTCATCACCTGTGACTCCACATATAATACAGGGGAACTAGATCAAGTATAAACTTGAACATTTTGGATATTATAGGCATTGTACACTTAGCAACTACATGTGTTAGTGGGCAAGAAAGGAGATGGTGCTTTGCATGTCACATCTAAAAACCACAAGACAATGAACAGCCATTCACTCTCTCTCCCATCATAAAAATGCCTCTGGGCACAGACCTGCACCTCCTGCAGCAAAGCCTCAGGAGGTGGGAGCAGTCTGGAGGGGAAGGGGCCACCATAGCACCCCTCTAAGTCATCACCTGGGGCTGGTGTCCCATTCGCCCCCACTCCCCTCCTAGTTACGCTACTGGGGTGGGGGGGGGAAGAGGAGGTGCTTCAGAAGGGAAAAAACACTACACACAGGAGAACATCTACACTTCAACTATTAACTCTTTAAAAAAAACAGGAAAGAAAAAACAAATTTTAACAGATTAAAATCTGTTAGTCTGCTTTAAAAGCAAAAAAATGTGATGCACTTCTGTTTATCTAGGACACTTCATTTCTTTGTTCACGTCAAAAATATTACTACAGAGTAGTCTGATATCATCCATACCAGGCTGTGACTAACAGCTAGCTCGTGCATTTTCTATGAGAGAATTTACATTTTAACAATCTATTGTTCTCAACAGTTATAAGCACAATTGGTCAGATTCTACAAACAAGGAGGTGATTCTTTATTTCCATAAGAGAGTCTTTTAAACCCCTGAAGAAAGACATATGAAAACAGTATCTAAAGGAGTAAACAGATTTTGATTCAAAAGGCTGGATACAATTGGTAGAGTCTGTGAATATTACAAAACAACAAGCAGATCTCTGCTCTAGACTTAGCTTATAACTATTACCAGAAAAGTTCAGCCTAATATTTGCGCATCATTACATTCAGACCAATACTGATATTTGAATTTTCATTCATCTTACAGTGTGCAGCATCACTGCAACAGGCTGAGGTATGAAAATGGGATCAATAGTGTACAGATGGATACCAGGCATAATGAAGCATTTATACGGACGGCTAAGTGAAGAGGTTTCGTGGAGGGGTATTCAGATCAAAAGATAGGATGAAGGGGAGAAATGGAGAACAGAGACTTTCACTCCTTCTTGAACTACTGAAAACAGTTCAAGCCCTGTTACAAGGTGTCCAGCAGCTGGAGCACAATATTTTATCTACAGGATATTGCATACCTTAGGGGAGGAATTGGGGAGCCACAGAAAAGATGAAAAGGCTCAGTACTCATTCAGAGCATGCTCTCACCTCAAATTAAGGTAAACAGGGTTAATTAGGTACACAGTGCTTAGTTATTTGGTCCCATTAGCCCTGAATTCAACTAGCTTTCATCATTTTTTCATAGCTTCTTATATAGTCATTATCAAGGCTGCTGTGTACTTAGGGAGCTCCCTTCCCTGGACTGTAAAAGCTGTGATATTAGCAGCCCAGAAATGGACTAACTACCATCATTTTCAAAACTTCTAATAAATAGCTCCCTGACAGCTTCTCCCCTCAATGTTTCTGGTATAATTAGGATACCTCAGAGTACATATGAGACTGTTACAATTCATATACAGTAACTGGAGAATAAGTTAAGTTCCATTCCCTAATACTTTACTGTCTCCTCCTAAAACAGGGATATGCAAAACAGGACAAGTAGCTGCTTGTTTCAGAAGAGTAATGCAAGACTTAGTTTATATGAATAAATTTATAGGTATAAGAAGTGCCAATTACTACATTTACTCAGTCATTTTGAGTAAATGTACACTCAGCTCTCTATATAAACATGATCATTAGAAACTGAAGCTCTCCAACAATGATTTTGCTTTTACATTTTTAACACAATAGGTTGCCACAGATGGCTGACTCATCTTTTACCCTTGCCCCGGGTGTCACACCAACATTACATGGTTCACACTAAAGCTTCTGCCTAAACCCTTTTGTCACAACTGCAGTAAGCGGAAGCAGGTGACAGCAACACCAGCAGCAGCTGTGCTTTGGACACATAGATCAGGGTTTTTACATGTTTCCATTGCAGATAAACAGAGAAGCTTGCACTGACTGCTCCTTAGCCACAAGCAATGAAAAATATTGACTAACCTCTGTCTACAGCTTTCACTCCAAGCAAGACAACTGGCTAAAGGTTTTTCTTCTCCAGCTTGATCATCTAATGAAAAGCCTGGAAAGCCTGATGCTCTGCAAATAAAAACTTAAAATCGGAGGGACAACTTCTAAACTCCTAACAGAGGGACAAAGCTGCAGCAGAGAAACATGCCTGATGAGGTGGGGGGGGAGGGGGGTTCCCCAAGAGCAAAGCCCGCAACCTCGATATTTGCTGCTGCAAGTTGTTGACATCAGAATGTCACCAGCATCTCAAAGGGGAAGGACTGCGCTCAGGACAACCATTAGAGGAAACATGGATGTGAGAAAATATGAAGAGGCCTCACCCTGGAGGGGATGAGCCCATTCAGTACAACCCACACATGCCATGAATGAACTCAAGGCTGTGCACTGTACACATGCACCCTTCCAGTGCTCTAGCAAGGGGCGGGGGGGGAGGGGAATAGCAAGGAGACCGCCCTGGGTGCCAATAGGTGCTGCCCAGCCAGGGAGCTGTAAGCAGCATTATTTA